GAATTGAGGAAAAAACTACCTGTGCCCCATCCCCTTGAGTCCCACCCCCAGAGCCCTGCAGTCACTCATAACTCAACTGGGATTGATCTGAGCCATGTCATTTGTGCCCACGTGGATGAGGAGCATGGGGTAGAGGTTGGAAGGCTGGACTAGTTTCAGGATCCTCTCAGCTACATCTAGGATGTGGGCCCCTGGGAGCAGCAGACCTTACGGGCCAAGGGGTTGGAGCAACAGATTGCTCCCTTTGTCTCCCTCAAGAGGGAGTCGCCCACAACAATCACTCTGCATTTCTTCCTTGGGTTGGTTTCAAGTTGCCTTTCTTCCTTGAGTTCTGGAGCTGGCAGCTCAGCTAGCTCTCCAGGTGCTACGTGGAGTTCATACCTGTTGTGAAGATCCAGGCGGGTGATGACCTGGCACAGCTTGCCTTGAGGCTGGAGACAACGTTCGTCCAAGCGTTCCCTAGTTGGAATTCATGGGAGCTTCTCTTGTCCACCCTTGTCCTGCAAGCCATCCTTGTGCTCCCCTCTTCATTCTTTTGGTGAAGAGTCTGGCAGTAAGAGTCGATCTTCTCGTTGCCATCTCTGATGGCATGCAGCCTCTGCACCACTGCGTGGAGCACCCCAATCTGTCACTCCAGAGACTCCAATGCAGAGCAAACCTGACAAGGGGCGGTATCATTGCTCCTGATCCCAGGTGCCTGCAGTCATTCCAGGCAGCCCCCAGAGCTGAGAACCAGGAGCCCCATCTGAGTGGAGGCCAGAACCATGGGTTCCATCTGGGTGGAGGCCTCAGTGGTGCAAGAAGTGGGAGATCCCAGAGGCGGAGGGGATCTTCGGTGTTTGGTGCATCACCACCATTGCACAGGAAGTAGTCTGGGCTACTGCTGTGCCGACCCTTCTCTTCAGGCTCACCACCTAGAACTTCGTGCCCCTCCTGTGCGAACTCCCACAGTAACTTACGTGCCAGGGCCCAGAGCATGCCTGTTTGCATGGCTCCGGTTGCATAGCTTCCTTGGGGGCTGGGCTAAGTGAGAGCCGGGGTGAGGGGAGCGTGACCCTCCTCAGCTCCTCTCAGCTGCCTCCTACTCCTGATTAGTGCCCTCCCACTTTGGGCCCCACTTATGTCCTGGCTTCGTGATGGGGGTTAAGGTTGGGGTCCACTGGGGTCTTCTGCTCTCGTGGGCGAGATGGGCTTGCACCCATGCATCTCTGCCTGAGAGCTAGGCCTAACTGGACTTTTTACTTTATCACGCAACCTGCAAGATCTCACTGTGCCGGGCTGCACCGCTTTCAGGAGACTAGCTACCAGACCCTGCCCTACACCCCACCCTACATCTCATCTCTTAGCTGCTTTCACAGTGTGGACGTATGTGATGCCTGATGCAATCTCCTGTTCTGATGCCATGAACAGAAGATAATATCACTGATGGTTGCAGACTCAACACTTAGACCTGCTGACTGAGAGAAACTTTCTATTAATTGTGATGGAGAAAATGTGTCTCTAAGTGGCGAGACCACATTAACACAAGTTTTAGGGCTTTTTTCTAATGGACTATGTCAACATAACTCCTGCATTAATCAATAGAAAAAAAAACAGCAAATGAAAAACCAGTAGTTTCAGTTTATTTTAGGTTTTCCTTTTCTCCTGTCAGATAAAATGTAGGGTGCAGTGGCACCTTAAGATGTATACAGACATTCACCACAACCTATGTCACGACGGTCACTTTAAACTATGAATGTAGACCAGGATCTATGTATACAAGCATTTGCCTGTTCTGGGAGCTGTGTGGGGAAATAGGAGTAAGTAACCTGGGGTGCCTGTAGACATGCAGGGAGGCTGCTCCAGTGTGCTGTATTACAACATGTTGGAGTAGACTCGAGTCTGCTAGAGCATGCTAATCAGCATGCTCCAGAAGCCTCAAGGTGTCATGTATCAGCGTCCCCAAACTTCAAAATGGCAGCAGGAGTGCATTAACTAAAGCTCATTGAATGAACTTTAGTTAAATGGCCCTCAGTGCCACTTTGAAGCACAGGGACACTGGTACCTGAAACTCTGTGGGCCTTTTAATCAGAGCCACTCTAATTAAAGCACCCCCTCCACCCCTGAAATACATGCAAAAATATCCTTGGAGTGGGTGGGATGGGATTGGGGGAGAGCTAGTAGGTCTGAAGGGAGGAGTCAGGGAGCTAAAAAATAGCCTTCTCAGGGTTGTGGGGGGAGAAGCTAGGAAGAGCTCAGTCTTAGGGCTGGGGCCAGTGACTGGGCTTTCCCAGCTCTGCATCTGTGATCTGAATGCATACAGGTGTTGGATTGGACTAACCTGTTCCCCATTTAAGTTAGTTGATCTCAGGCATTTTTTACCTTATTTAACCCCCCCGAATGCCTGTACAATTCAGGCATTGCACTTAATTTCATTCTAGTTAGGTCAATCTAAATGCGACTTCTATACATACGCTTTGAGACTGATTGATTCAGAGAGCTTTCATAAGCAGGAACCTACTTTGTCAAATGCAAAGCATGACCTCATTCATTTAGGCCTGGATTGATGCCTTTTCCATGTTTGCAAACTTTGAAAAAAAAACATTCTCTCACTTTGCAGTCCATTGGAGAGTCCATTCATAGCATCTAACAAAGCAGGTTGTTGCTTAAGTCAGAAAGGCAAGAGCTTTCCTATTTTTTCTCTGATGTCAGACTAACACAGATAAACACCGCTCTTCTGTGAAATTTAAGTGTGCACTAAAAGAAAGAGAGGGAAAAAAAAGCTTTTGCAAATTTGTATCTATACTCATTATAGAATGTTTGTCAGAAATAAGCTGCTTATACTACAAAAGAAAGCTTAAAAGCTCTCAGATGTCTATATGATTTACAGCCAGCAATTAAAGTAAAGTAACTTCTGGTTTCTTTTGTTAGTTATTGGTTATATGATCCCTTACAAAAAGAATGGTTTATATTCAGAGTTGCATGTTTGGAAAGAAAACTATTATAGTTGTTATGCTGTACAAAAGAAATGCTGTTTCCATAACTGGCAGCTATTTTCTATTGTATTCGTCTGTTACAACCAGCTAAATCATCTCTGTCCAACAGTTTTCATATTTCCATGTTTTTCTTAAAGCTCGTTATTTCAAAAAAACAAAACAAAACCCATGTAAGGGCTGCACGAATTTCAGAAATGAAGGGAACATTAGGATATTGTTTTCCTTATTTGTTGGCAAAGCCTGAAAGATGGCTGTTGAAAAAGAATGGATTAAACAAAGAAGTAGAAGGGAATGGGTGGTGAATCTGATTATTGTTGGCATATTTTGGAATGTTGCAATTGATGTTTGATTTATTAACAATCTGTGCTTCTTTGGCAGTTTAAAAATCCTAACAGGGTAATCCCATTTGAGATCATAATCTCATTTATAGGCTGACTTTGCCCTCCAGAAAAGGGTTAGTCTTCAAATGAGCAGGTATCTGACAGGTCCCATTGCCTGTTCAGGTGCCCATTAAACACCGCTACGGTCACATGAGCAGTCCTCCTACAATAAAATCTGAATTAGTTCAAGTACAGGTGTAGAGAACCAGCAATCTGACAAGGTGGTACTGTGTGCACATTCAGGGAAAAGGCAGAGGAAATTAATAGATTTGAATAGATGAGAGGGGAGGCAAGTGGATAGTTGAGATAATATACCAAAGAATTAGATCACGCCATGGCTGGAGAAGGAGTTGCTGTCCATAGGCAGGGAGTTCAGGCAGCAAAAAAGCAGGTAACGGGGACTAAAGGAGCTAGTGTTGGTGTTAGGCTCTCCTATTTGCCAAAACAGTTTGTCCTGTGGTTCGACCAACTGCAGAATCAGCTGCATGTGTGTATTGCTCTTTCAGTTCCTATCCAGGTCGATCCTGGCCCAGGAGAAAAAGGGTTGAGTTCAGGCCTAGCAGAGAAACTGCAAAATATAATTTTGGGGAGAGAGTGCACCAGGGATCAGAGAGGCAATAGCCTCTTTTCCTAGATGAAGCTGGGCTTCCATCCCCAAAAGTTAGCACTTTTGGTACTAACTGGTTAGCAATTTCAGCACAGAGGGCAAGGAGTGCGTAAGATGGCAGATTGAGTGATCATTCCATGTCTGGAAATGATTTCTCAAGCCCGAGGCTGAAGCACATTAATACATTGAGGGTGCATCCATATCTGATGCTACATTGCCGTAGCAATGCATTATGGTGACGTAACTTCCACAGGTGTCTACATGTGACCAGCAGCTACTTTGCCGTACTAGTGCGCATTTTAGCACGCCACTACAACGAACTAGCTGCTAAAAATGACCGTACAGCGCAGTATGTGTGGTTACTGCACCATGCTTTAGGACTTCCTTTTGGAAGTCCTAAAGCACAGTGATGTAACAACGTTGCCATTCAGCCCTTACCTGTGGATACGCCAAGAGCTTTGGTGCCTTAGGCAGCTAGTTATTTCACCAGGGTGGGATGGGAATACTTACAACTCTAGAGAACTGTGATATATTAAAGCTAGGAATAAAAGGGAAAATCTTGGTCACTCATTGCTTTTTGCACCAACAAGGAAGAGCCACAAATTTTAAATGCCTGTGCTTGCAGGTGGTAGGAGAGCTGTGGTGAGTAGCTTAATTATTGCTTGATTGCCTGTGAAACTGCAAGAGGCGAATGGAGTAAACAGTACTCCATAATGTTGATATTCATCATTTGTACTGTGGTAGCATCTGCATAATGCTAGGAATTGTGCAGGCACACGATGGAACTATTTTAATTCTGAAGAGCTCCCAGACTTGCTTACATAAGACAAAGGAGGTCTTGTTCTCATTTGTTACAATTCTTGCTCCATGCTCTTTTAGAAACAAAGGAAACACAAGGCAGCTGTGCTAGGGTCAAGATTTGGGGCCAAATCTCCAGTGTCCCAGTTTAGTATCTTAAATGAACCCTTTTTCCTTAAAGGATGTTTAAAAATAATTTCAAAGTTATAGCATTAATTCACCTTGGCTTTTTATTTCCAGGGTCACATGATTCTTTCAGCTACTGGGTTGATGAGAAATCTCCAGTGGGACCAGACCAAGCAACAGCAATTAAACGTTTAGCTAAAATTTCTTTGGTTAAAAAGCTAATGAAGAAGTGGTCAGTTACTCAAAACCTGACTTTCAAGGAGCAGCTGGAAAGTGGAATCCGCTACTTTGATTTGCGTGTATCGTCCAAGCCAGGAGAAGTGGAGAAGGAGATCTACTTCATACACGGCTTGTTTGGCATCAGAGTTTGGGATGGGCTGATGGAGATTAACAGCTTCCTCCTGCAACACCCTGGAGAAGTCATTTTCCTGGATTTCAATCATTTCTATGCAATGGATGATAGTCACCACCTGTACCTGATCAGCAAGATACTGAAAGCATTTGGATCAAAACTTTGCCCAGTGCAACCTGTAGAAAAAGTGACTTTGCAATATTTGTGGGAGTTGAAACAGCAGGTGAGGGATATTAAAATCTGGATGAGTCTGAGGCTGGTTCTGAGCATGGTAATTACTATTTATTTGTGTTGCCTAAAATCCTGGGCCCTACCTGAGAGAGGCAAAGAACCCCTTGTCAAAGCAGTTAACAAGAAACATTTAAGTGCTGTAACTCCAGGTGAGTCTACATAAATCCCATGATCTTGGCAAAAAAACACTGGAGTTAAAACACTTAATATCCATAAATGCTAGAGTTGAACCCCCAACACTACAAATGCATTTTGTTAAAAATCTTGCATGTTCAGCTCTAGAGACAACACAAATCAGGCTAAGAAGTCCTAGATGGGATGAACAAGGTTCAGCATTAATATATTCAACCCTGGATCTGAATTTGGTAACTCAGACTCTTCCTGGCCCTTGCTGGGCCTTCCTATGCTGTTCCTTAATATGACCTTTGGAATAAAGCTCTTAGAATCAGGAACTTAAGATTTTAGCTAGTTAACACAATGATTGGCTTTGGTGTTTCACCTATTAAGGCTAGGATTAGAAGTTGCACATAAACTGGTTTAAGTGATTAGAAACCGATTTAAACTTGTAACAGAACAGAAGCTCAGTGCACGTAAACTGCTTTTAAAATGGCTCAAACTGGTTAAAGATAAATCTGGTTGGATGGAGTATCAGACTTAACTGATTTAGGTCAAATCAGTTTATGGAACTTCTGTCCCAGATCCCCTCCCGGTTCAGGTTAACTTGGTCTCCCCAGCATCCCAGGATGCTTTGCAGCCCTGGGCTGTGCTGTCTGCTCCGGCAGAGTAGGGTCTGCTCCACCCCTCAGTTCCCTAGCTGGAGCACTATCACTCTTCCGGGTGGTTGGGAGGGAGCCCACCCCCTCCTCAGCTGGCCTGGAGTCTGAGGAGGGTGCAAGGCTGAGGGATTCCAGCATGGCTTTGAGTGGTTAGAGTCAAGCTCTCACTGCAGGCTCCTTCTCCCCTCTCCCCAACACTGGGGCAGCACCTAGCTGGGCATCTACTGCTGGGCCAGGGGGGGGGAATGGGAAGGGGCAGGTTTCTCCTCTCCACCCAAAAATCTAATATTAAATCTGATAATGGGGGGGGGTGGGGATCCCCTCTTAACACCAGGGCAGGGCTTAGGGGACCCTGTCAGGGGTAGGGAACCCTTTCTGAGGTTGGTGGACCCAACCAGACTGTGGCTGAAGGGACTCTTCCCCCCCCTGGGGGAAGACCACAAGTGTCTGAAGGGCGTGAGCTGGACAACCAATCAAGGACAAGCCCTACTCTGCTGCATTTGGGTGCCTTTGGCAGTGGCCAGCAGGCTGGGAGGCATGCTTTGTCCTGTCCCCCCTGCCTGACTACTGGCATGGGCCACTGCAAGAATCTGACTGCCTTTCTGGTTTCAAAAGTGAACATGATTTCACTTGCTTATTGGTTCAATGTATGCAGTTTTGAGAAACCTACAAAGATTTAATTGATTCAGCCTGGGGCTTTTTGACTCTCTATACTTATCCTAAATGTCTGCTTGATACCAATATGCAACCTCGTTCATTATGTTACAATCAGTTAAATTGTTACGAGTTACCTAGCTTCACACATCATTGTTTTCCTTACATAAGAGGTACCACGAATTCTGTCTGTTAAATATTTAGGAGTGAAATGAAAAGAACATTTGGAAATAAAAAGTTTTAAATGTGAGTTCAATTTTCTACTGTAAACTATACTCTTTTTTTTTTTTACTCCAGTGACTCTCCTAACCCAGTGTAGCATGTAATGAAGATTACTTTCTTTTCGTTTATGCCAACACTACAGTGAACTAATATTTATCATGCGTCCCCCAGCCACTAATATTTACCATGCATGCACTTGCACTCCAAAATTTGAGCCTATGTGGGCACAATGAAGTGTTAATTCTTCCTCTTTAAATTGAGAGATTCTGATAAATTAAAATTCTGAAATATGAAATTTATTATTCTGTAAATAACATTTTCCTTTTTTTCTCTCAATTGCTGTAGGTTCTAATATTCTACCACTACCCTCTGTATCAGGATTATTCCTTTCTGTGGCCAGGAAACAAGATGCCGGCCCCATGGGCCAACACAACAAATGTGCACAAACTTTTACAGTTTTTAGAGACTACCCTTAGGGAGCGGTCTCAGTATGGAACTTTCCATGTTTCTCAAGCTATTCTCACTCCCAGAGTCAAAACCATTGCCCGGCATCTAATCCGTGGCCTAAAAAATACACTAGTTCACAGGTAAGCGTTTATCTTGATTCCCCAGGTCCTGGGCTTCTCTGGTCCTTCCTTGATGCTGAAGTTACAATAAATAAGCAAGTAACTGCCAAGACTTTGCTTGAATTATTGCTTTACTAATAACTGATCATTCACTTAACTCAGAGCCTTGCACCCCTTGCAGTTTGGGTAAAGCATCGTGGCTGGCCTTATGTGTGGATACTTTCAGGTCCCAACAAAGATATAGAAGAATAAACTAATTTTGAACTTAATTTTTACAAGGAAAATAAAAAAGGTCAGGCCTGCTCCTGCCTACTGTTGGCCAGCCTTAAATCAGTTGAACTTAAAAATAAAGTTAAGGGGAACAAAAGAAGCTTATTCCTTACATGAAAATCCAGTATCATCCTTTTCTGTGGGCTAACAGCTGCCATTGATTGTATGTATACCTCTCCCAGTGACTTGAGTAACACTTGCACCCATACACACACGACCTAGACCAGGATAAGACCTGGATTTGCTTCTCCACCAAAAAGAGATATGAACAATAAGGATTTTCCAGTGGATTTATATATGAAGAATTAATTTAAGAGCTGAAATAAGGAGGGGTCCAATGCTGAAAAGTCTTGGGCCCTTTTAACTTTTAGTATTGTTAAAGGCATGTGCAGGGCCTATTTATTTCCCTGGATCGGGCTTATGTATTTCTGTTGTGTCTGGTAGCCTGTGTTCCTGATCAGATAGAAGTAGCATTTCACGCTGGGATTTGGTTCCCCCTTTTACTTTTTAATACTATCCATCCCAATCCTTTCAGTGGTTTGTCAGGCGGGGTTCTTTTGTTCTGTTGTGCTGTTACTCCTACTTCATCTGCTACTGTAACATCAGTTGTCCAAATGAGCACATCACTTACTGAACTAACTACCAGACACTGAGACTGTCATGTGTTAGCAATTATTAGGTCTATGGCCTTTGACGTTCAAAGCACATTTTCAAGAACTTTGCCACTCTGCAAGGAACTGTAACTCTAGCTGTTACTACCTTGAAAGAGACTTATAGTTCCTTGCAGAGAGATATCATTCTTCTAGTGGTTCATACAGCGTTCTTCTGTAAAAACAATGACAAAACACTACACTTTTTTCTTAATATCTTTTTTATTTTAGCAGGGTTTTAAGAACATTTTAAAAATGGGAATCTAGAACGTACTCAGTTTTTCATTGCACAGTGAGCAGTGAAGTTCCAAGGCATTTGCTTTTCCACAGTATTTAGTCTTGCAAAAGAAAGAATTACGTTTAAAGCCAAGTGATGTGATATTATTGGTAACATCCAGATGTCCAGTTGCCTTTACCCTCTGAAGTGTACTGTTTTGTTTTCTGTACGTTGAACACTAGATGGTGCCAAAATGCCTGCTGTAAAAGGCTTTTGTGTTTAGGTAATAAGTTATGCAAATCTAAATTTGTGTTTTATTCAAAATGCTCAATAGAAAGTCTGGCAAGGTTCTTTGGGTAGATGTGATATCATTTATTAGACCAACTAAATAGTTGGAAAAAGTTCTTCGCAAGCTTTTGGGCACAAGCACCCTTCCTCAGGCATCAGGAGACTCTGCAGACTCTCCCAATGCCTGAGGGGGTGTTTTTGCCCAAACACTTGCAAAAAACTTTTTCCAACTATTTAGCTGGTCTAATAAATGATGTCAGATCTACCCAAAGAATCTTTCCTGCCTGTCCTTAGATCAACACAGCTACAACCAACAACCCTGCAATAGAAAGTCTTGTATTTATAGTCATGATGGTTGTTTTGTATGTATAACTGTATCATACTAATGTGTTAAAGCTTTCACATAACCTTTCTTATCTAAGTAATTAACAAATATCAGTAAATTATTTTCATGGTATTACTGTGATTTCATTTTGTTTCAACGCTGATTCAATTACACAACCATAGTTTGTTTACCTGGAAGATTGTTTGGAGAAAACCCAATAAGTCAATGAGTGATTCTAGTTTAAACATAATATGGTATACACCATTTATGGAATAAACTATTAAGCATGATATGGTATACACCATTTAAAAGAGGCTAAATATTTAGGGTCTGATTGCTTGTGTGTATAAACACTGTCACTACAATTGAGTGGGGACAGTCTGAATATGAATATTAAGCTGTTTAAGTTCCATCTGATAAAGAAGAAACATCTGAAACTAATAAAAACAAATGATTAAAAAATGAGCAACTCCCCTTGGAAATAATGACTCTCTTACCCTCAGCTTCTCCTTTTTGTTTACTGGTAACTTCCTTGAAGGGATGGTGCGTATGTGTGGTACATTCCTTGGTTAGCTGATTCCAAGAGGTGAACAGCTTGTTTTGTCTTCTTGTAAAGCAACAGGCATACTAAGTGACTAATATAAATGAATACTGATACATTTAGTCACTTCTGGATCTGGCTTCAGCTGAAACCCAGGAATTTTAAAGAAGCATAAGAACTTCTGCAAACCCTCATTACAGGGTCTTGAAAAGAACAATTTACAAAATTCTTCAGTTTTGGAAATACTAAAGCATGGCGTAGTAACGGCCTGTACTGCACCATGCGCGGTTAAATTAGACTTGCCATAGCGGCACGCTATACTGGGGAAGCATGCCACTATGGCAGTGTAGCTGCTGATCACATGTAGACTCATGATCACTACGTTGCTGTAGCACACCATATGGTGATGTAGCACATGACTACATCACCACAGGGCTATGTGTAGACACTCCCAACAATGTCTTAAATTGCAGCGTACGAGTTAAGCCTTCATTTCAGTAATACTTCAGCAAAACAAAACAAAGCCTGACAAACTACAGTGGGACTTTTGAAGTCCGAGATGCCAAATACTCTGTGAAATCTTTTTAAAGCCCTGAGATTTTTATGGACAGTTGTTTATGTCAGTGATTTTAGCCAATATTTTCACCCATGATTTAATTGTACAGCTGCCATTTTTCTCCCATAGACGGTTGGTGGTGTTAGAGTACAATACATATTTGGTTAGCAATGTGGGTAATAAACGGCACAATAGAAACTTAACATATCAGTGCTGCTTGTAGGCAAGCTATCAAACACAGAAAAAAGCAAAGTGCTTTTAAACCAAGGCTTTTAAAATTGATTTTGTCTTTATTTTTTTTTTTAGGAACCTGCCTATGATTTTGAATTGGGTAAAGACACAGAAACCTGGTGTCATGGGCGTTAACATAATTACATCAGACTTCGTGGAACTAGTCGACTTTGCTGCTACAGTGATTGCATTAAACAATCTTCTGTTAGAAGGGAACAGAGGTGTGACTAAATCCTGATTGCTCTGTCTCTCACTCTAAATTTAATCCTGTTCTGTTTATGAGGATTCAGAGCCTTCCAGCTGTACAAAATGCAAGAGTTTTATTTATTTATGTATTTATTTGGAACAAAGCCATGGTTTCAAAAGAAGCGCAGTTAAGACTATATACATCATGGTCTGTTCTTTTGTAGCTGCAACAATTTGACCTGAACACTAAGTACCGAGCACTGCTGCATGGCTGTTTGTGGCTATGCATTTGACACATCTGCTTTGTGACAGGAGGTTGTTTGCCTGCCAACAGGAGGTTGGACTTTCAAGCAGATGTAACCAATTATTGGCATCATCTCGCCAGGGATGGCTTGCTGTTTTTGCATGCATCCTTCATGTTACTGAATCCAGGGCTCAAATTGAGCATTGTTACTGATTCCCTATGCAGCAGTTCTGGCAGGCTAGCCAAAAAAGGCATCCATCTCCTCCTGGCTGCATCAGTCAGAGCTTTGCTAGTTTCATCTGAAAGTCTTTGTTTCTTTATTACACTGGAAGCTACCTCTGAGTTTCTTTAAAGCAACAGTGTCCCCATAGAGAGAAGCTTTTATTCTTTGTACAATATTTTAAATAAAGTTGGACTCAGGTGCAAAGTTGGGATCTGAACTTCATAATCTCAGGGCCTTTTGACTTCAAGGTTTTGCTTTTGGCTTGTCTTTATTTTTAGGGACATGTGTAATAAATCCATGAGAGCAGGCTGCAGATGCACTTTTGTGCTTTGAAGATTGTTTCCTGTTGAGTTTTTCTTGGAAGGTACTAGGGGTGGGGAGGTAAGCTGTGTGCAAAAAGACAAATATATGCATGTTAGTAAGTCAGCAGGGTGTTATTCACTGTAGTATTCATTTTGAGATGTAATGTAGGAAACAGCAGAGTGACACTTAGGCAAAACCCAGACCCTTTCATTCATGTGAATCTTTCTCCCACTCTAATTAGGGTTTTGTTTTGTTTTGTTTTTCTCCTCACCCCTTCACCCTTAAGCTATATTGGAAATAGCTAAAAACTGAAATTTTGTTGAGTATCTGATCATCAGGGATCCTAGTTTTCCACAAGGAAAAAAAGGAAGAAAATCGCCATTTAAAAAAACCCACAAAACTCCGTGTTTTTCTGTGGCCTACCAAATGTGTGGTGCCATCCCCATGGAAGTGGTGCCATTTCTGCTGTCTTTTTATTTTTACCACAGTTTTTGCCTCTTGGCCAATAAGCAGTGGTTGGGAGGGGAGGGGGGGTGAGAGGAGGTGCACCGCTGATTGGGTGAGAGGCAAAAACTGTGGCAGAGGTAGCTTCTTCTATGACAAATAGAAAACTAGGATACCTGCTGATCATGTTCCATATATTTTTGTGTCCTTAAAACATTTCTGAGCTTTCTCTGAACCTCTGGATTCCTTACCTTCTCCAGACACAGCTGTGGCTTTCCATGCTGCCTCTTCTGTGATGGTGTTTCAGTACTTAATGCTAGTGATGTATGGATCTGCTTTTGGGGTATAAACTCAAAACTTTCATAAAGTTCATTTAAAGGCTTGCAAGTCTACTATGTGAACTGTGGCCCACTTCTAATCTGGTTTATCTGGTTGTGGCCTGGTTTTAATTAGAGCTCTTTGAATTTTTTTTCCAGTCAAACCTATTCTAAGGAAAACTGAAAATCTGACTCTGCTTCTGTCTTTCTCTTTTCCCTCCATCCCCCATTTTCCCATGAGGCAGGGAGAACAAAAAATAGGGAAGACAAACTAATAGCATTTTTAAGCAGTTTTCAAAACATTAAACAAGCAACTTTTTAGTTTTTAAATCAGGGAAAGAATTAGCACATCATATCCATCAAAATGAAAAAAATGTGCAGAAAAATATTTAGCATCTTTTGATCTTTGCAAAATGGTATGAAACAATGGTTTCAACTGCATTTTCTCTGTGTGTGTGTGTTTTGCAACTAACCCAGTTTCTCTTGTGCATCAAGATAAAATCCCAGAATTGGAGAAAGCTATGGGGTCTAAGTATGTATCTAATTGAGAGCTCTCATCTAGTTGTAGATGTTCTTTGAGCTCAGAACTCAAAGTAAACCTCAGGAAGTACAAATGCAAATAAATGAGGATGAAGAAAATATTTGTATAGTTTTTCTACCAAAGTGAAAGACTGATTTACAGGTACATGTATATATCTCAGTATTTGTATTTGGTCCTTAATCTCTTATCTTCTTGGACTATGTGCATCTACCTCAAAAATAAACTTATCAGGTTTAGACAGCTAATGTTTATACAGTTGGCAGAGAAATGGAGCTGTTTTTAACCCTTATAATGCATTTGTCTGAGAGGAGGCCAGAGTTCTGGGTTTCCTTTCTGCCCCTTCATGTTTTCAAGAAATTTTATGCATGTTCTACAGACTGCTGCTTGTTGAAATATAGGACAAAGAGCTAGTGAATGTGTGAGTATTGTGACAACTAGCTGAAGAAAAATTAAAATGGGAATTAACTTAGATTCATGGTGATGAAAAACATCATTGATCTTTGCCTGCTCTTTGCCATAATGAAAGAATTGGTATCAAAGTGGTTTCCAGCTGATGGTTATCCAAATGACAAACTGCTGACAGTGAGGGCTGCATCTGCAGTGCAGTAAAAGGCATTATGGCAGCACTTTACAAATGTACCCAAACTAGTTTGAATAACAATAGTGGAAAAGACTAGAATAGTATAAAATTCAGCCTGAACTAGCTTTTGAAGTAGTTAAGTAGTTGAGATTTTAGCCCATGCTGAAGCACTTGTTACTATCAGTTTCAGTGTTGCTGGTAACCAAACTAGCTTAAGTCGGTCTACATGTGCTGCCATATCTCCAGCTGCCATATGGACATAGCCAAAGGCAATCTTTGACTGAGATCTCAGACTTTGTAAGTACTGTTTTCTTAAAATTAGGTTGAAGTATGGTATCAGAGAAGTATAAGGCAAGCTAGTACCCCTATGGCCTATGCTGTGGGATGGGGAAGGAAGGTTATTTTATTTCTGTATAGATTCTGCCACAGAGCTGTATCTTCCCCATGGACTAAAATTTACACTTAAGGAAGACCTAAAAATGAACTTGATAGCAACATGGGAACTGTTTTGCAAACTGCAGCCATGGTACCAATGTTTGGATGGGCGTTGAATTCAGGGAGGAAGCTGTAGAAGGGTCCCAGTGCATGCTTGCTTTTGTTACAGTTAGTCTCTGTGCCATGAACCATGGTGATCCTGTTTAAGGTTGATTACAAGAAATGGAGAAGCTGTGGCACAAATATTTAAATTTGATTTTTTTTTTCTCTTAAGACCTGCTCATAAAAAGTTTTATGGAATATTACTGGCATCTTTTAAGTGTAATATTTAGATGCAGCTTTTGAAGAATCTATAGTACTACTTCTTTGTAGACAGAAAGACGTTGCACTGTGACTGTTATCTATCTAGACCAGAATTAGTGGGCAATACCTATTAACTCAGAAACTCATTAGGGCATAGACCCTCTTGCCTGGCATGGCTAATATCCAAACCATCTGCCTTCTCACTGATGTTGAAAGAACATGCCTAACACAAAAGGGATAGGTATATATGTGAGGAGAAACATTAGGGAAGTGTCTGTGCTTCTTAATGCAAGTTAGGAAGTAGAAACAAGGAGGAAAGTTAGCACCATGGGAATACTCAGTTCTTGTCAGGCCACCAGATTTCCATGGCCTGCAGTGTGGGAAGTTCTGTCCTAAGTTACTTGGGTCTACATCACTCAGGATTTGTATTAATCATGAAGATAAGCAGCTTTTGCTATAAACAAATGCAGTTGGCAACTAAGATGCCAAGTCTCAGGCACATAATTACATCAGTGGAGATCAGGGTGAAAACACCTGAATATTTCTGATAATTGTGCACCTATAAAGATTTTCTTGGCTGATACCAATAGCCAATTATTCACCAGACATATTGGCCGATAACCGATTTACAGGAGCTCAGCCAGGCAGTGTGAAGAGCAGCACCCTGCAGGTAAGTGTGTGGAGGGGAAGGGGTTTTGGGGAGGGAAAGGCATGACTTACCTAGAGGACACTGCTCTCCATACTGCCTGGCTGCGTTCCTGGCCACATGCATGCTGTGGCTGTATGCATGCATGTGGCATCTGGGGGCCTTGGCCAGAAGGCATATTGTATTTATCGGTGACATTATTGGCTACAGCGGCCAAAAAAAGTCAATAGCCAATAATGTTAATTTGCCTTTTATTGATGCTGATCTGGTATGGTACTGATGTATCAGTGCACTTCTAATTTCTGAAGTTGATGGTGACAACAATTGTGGGTGCACACAGAAGTACAGCTGCCCACAGTAATTCATGGCGCTTTGCATGAAGCGCCATGAGTTACAGCGATTCCCAGACCCAACAGATATTTGCTGTTGGGTCCCAGGGCTTGCGGGGGCTCCAGTCCATCCACCCCACCCTCCAGAGCTGACTGAAAAAACCCCAGATGGAACTCCCCTCCATTCTCCCCCTCCCATTCTGAAGACAGTGCCAGGGCTGGAAGTGGGGAGGGGAGAGGCTACAGAGAGTGGCTGCAGACTCGCAGCCAGTCCATATTGCAGCTGGACCCCCCAACCCCTGGAGCCCAACAGCAAACTGTTAGGTGTTTAGTTGCAGAATTTCTGTCTAGCTGTTTCCCTTCCTTGAAATTGAATTTTAGTTCCTGTTGAGATTTAAAGTTCCCAGAACCACAGTACTTTTCTGCCATTTTTCCTTGTTTCAGAGTAGAATTAGGCTGAGGGGCAAATCTATGGGGAGATCTTTTTATTCAGGTTTTTGGCTAAGTTCATTATAGAAATGCTTCCACCCACATTAGCTCTGGATCTAGCTTCAGAATTGTTGTTTTTTCTTATAAAAAGTGTTCATGTTCTGATTTTTTTTTTCTTTTTGTACATGTTGCAGGTAGGAACAGCCATACATGTTAAAATAAATGACAGAAACTTTTGTTTTAAGTAGATGAATGGAGGGAGTGATGGGAAATGCAAGTCAGCAAAAGAAGGCTAAGTGTGTGTTTAGAATTGGATGAGAGTCACCTTGAAATATGTTCTACATGCTTTATTTTTAGATACCCAAGTTTACTCTATATTGAACCAACTCAACTGAAAAATTGTATGAAGAGACAAAATATCAAGGCAGAAACTAGGGCAATTTCTATGCCACAAAGCATGGATGATTGAACTAGCTTGGAAAAAATTAAGAGCTAACTTAAAATTTCATCAAAAGTCAGACAGGATCCAAATTTCTTTTTTTTTGAAGAGAAAAAAGTAGGAAACTACTTTCTATTTCAAACTAGGAAACACAGAAAGAAATAGAACTATTGTTCTGGAGCCTGACAGACAAAACAGGAAGTGTTAAAAATCAGAGGAGCACTTGTGCAGCCCAATTTATTGGCAAAATAAATTTTGGTAGAACTTCTAAGCACTTACATTATTGTTCCTACGTTCTTTTTCTCGTGTCACAACTTTCTCCAGTACAAGTTGCCTTCTGCGCAACAAAGAGTAGTTGTTTGAAGGACTTGGCTGATGACAAGAAAGTTATGAATAGACAGAGTCAGCAAAGCTTCAGTGGAACCATATGCTGTTGGA